ACTTTTCTATTTCTTAAATCTCTATCTAATATGTTGATTTAAAATTCACCTCAAACTTTTTTGTTTAATTATGTTGACATATGTAAGAGATTCTATATTAAAGTGATTTCTTAGTTATTTTTCTGTCTTCTAAGCCTTGATTATATCTTATTATCTCGTTAAAATTCTTATTCCTATATCCTTCATTATATTCCGTTTGATGAATATCTTAATCAAACTTAATAAGTTTTCTCTCAGGATTTTTTTATTACAGATTTGAGTTTGATTTAATTAAATGAGTACCTCCCACAAGATCCTACACTCTACAGGAATTACTCATGACTAGACCCTCGATAGTTGTTGGAAATACAAAATAAACAAGGACAGTGCATATCTGACTTTGCTGTTTCAAGGAGAAATAATCAAAATTGCCTTGAGATTTAGAGATAAGAGATAAAAATAGTCTAGCCATCTACTTGGACAAGTAAAATGAATATTCGATAATAACAAAATGGAACTTTGGACATTATTTTTGGATTCAACTTTTAAATTTACATTCTGTTAATAAGTCAAAATACAGATATGATAAAGTTATTATGATATTATCTTCATTATGAATATGGATGTCATAGAATTTTAGGGTAGTATTTAGAAAATTCTAAATAGATCATGAGCATCAAAATGCTCTGCTTTTCTCACTCTAATCCTGTTTTTTTTTTAAAGATTAATTAAAATTATTTAATTTTTGAGGTGGGCGCATTATAATGATGTTTGGCTTAGCATAGAATGATTAAAACCTTTTTAAGAGAAAAGATTATACTAGTCTGAAAAAAATAAATCATCATAACATTTATCCTCATTTTATCTAAGTGATAATTGTAGAAATGATAGAATGTCATCATTCAGAATATGAACTATTGTTGGTTTGTAAGTTCGATTCATCTGATTTCTCCTTGAATCTTCTTATTGGGATATTAGACTGCTAATGCGTAGACACAAAAAAAAAATAGCCTATGCTTAAGTTCCTCAAATAAACTAATCAAAAATTAACAAATTAATAGACCCCAAGTTAATTCATTCCTATTACATGAGCCATGGTTAGCATTTCAATGTTAAAGGGATTAATGAAGTTTGAAAATTTCTTGAATGAAGAATCTTAAATGCTTATGAAGTTTTGTAATTAATAGTTTGATTTAAAGCAGTTAATAACTTAGTTCTATTAAACATTTATGAAGTTTATGCACTTTGTTCAAGCATTGATTGATGCACTTTATCTATCCAAATGTTTATTTAAAGTGCAACATCTACTTTTGCAAGATTTGCTCTTATAATTTATTATCCATTAAATGATTACATTCAAACCATTATAATTATACAATTAAACTTAAAAAAGCAGATTTCTTAAGTTACAAGACCTCGTTTATTATATGAATCTTTGGAGAGCTCATCAGCAGAACTACTCATTCTAAACTTGATGGAAAAGGGAGATATGAATGCCACAGTTTTAAATGCAGGGACAAAGTTAAATAAAGGAGATGGGATGGAACGACTCTTATAAAAAAACAGACTTGTCTGTTGTTTCGATAAGTAGTAGAAGAATTAAAATTCTAAATTTGTGAAAAGTACCTTGCTTTGAAGGCTGCTTAAGCATCAATCCCCTTGATACGATTTTCAAAGAAGAAAATGAAATTTTTGTATTTTGTTCAAAGTTAATATTTTTGATAATTATCAGAATTTTTCAGGATAAATTGCAGAATTAATAAAGTTGATATTTAAATATCATCTCAGAAATTATATAATATAATTTAGACTCGCTAAATTGATGAGATTAATTTTTTATCACCATTCTTAGATAATAGATTCACCAATCTTGAAACAATAAAATGCTTTCCATTATTTTTTTGTGATGTTGTGATGAACATTAGAGTGAAAAGATTTAACTAGCTCAATAGAATTGTTCATTATTAAAAATAGATAAGGTGAAAAGAAAAGAATGTCAATTATTTCTGAAGAGTCATATGTGACACAGCTTGTTTGAGAGATTATTTTAAGAAAATTTTTTCATTTGATTTTTAGGTTTCTAATTCACTTCCCATCAAGATAGAAATTCCATCTAAGCAAAACGTTTAGTCGAACTAATGTTTTAGTATGTAAAGGAGAAAGCCCAGATATGATTTAAAAAAAAATATCAATAAAGATTCACGATCTGAATATCCCTCTTGAAAAAAAGATAAAATGAGTTAAAATTAAATATTAATAGAATCTGCCTATTTAGTTTTCCCACATGAACAATTAAATAATTATGAAATGTAAATGGGTAGTGTTGATGAAGAAATACAATAAATAATAATAGAGTCAAACTTAGATACCAACAAGAATCTGTAATTCGTCCTAATCTGATTCATTTTAGAGTTTGTAAATGATCAGGGAAAGAGCGAAAGGAGAGAGTACAAACCTCATTCATAGCACTGCTAGCAATTGTAAGTTTTTAAGATGCTTAGGATAAGTGTAAAGCAATGCTTGAAAAGAAGGATATAAATGGTTGAAAATTACTGGTAATTAGTAGTTTATTCTACACAATATATAAATTTAGACCTGAAATTTAATTGAAGCCACCTTTTATAAAAGGTGGAAGTGTCAGAATTTTTAAATCCATTACTACATTTCTAACAGAAATCATTGACCTTTTGATATTGCTTTTTACCTTGCATTTATTCAAAAAAAGTATTTATGATGTGAATAAATGATTCAGTTTGTACATCAAATATCATTTTAGCTTCAAATAGTAGAAAACACCTAAAAAAGTGGTTTATAAAACCAAAAGAGACATGAACCTTTTTATCATGTCCAGTATCGGGACATCACTTAAGAGATGTATCACAAATTGATGACATTTACAAATGTTAGACTTCAGTATTTCTTACAAGAAGTGTTTAAATTATTATAGTAGATTAGAGGGATTAACCATAAAATACTGCCTTGTATTGACTCATTATTAGAATCCACTCTGATTACATCTGCATTTACATAAACGGTGTAAGATCTAACTCCTTAATAGAGTTGAGGCTGTGCATTATTGGCAGATTTTCCAATTTAAGGTATGGGTGATATTGAATATGAATTTCTGTAAATTGCATTTGAATGCATGTATAAATACTAAGGACATGATGAAATTCTAT